TCTCCCTTTATCCCCTCTCTTTCCCTCTATTCCCCGTCTCTCCCTCTGTTCCCCATCTCTCCCTTTATCCCCTCTCTTTCCCTCTATTCCCTGTCTTTCCCTCTGTGCCCCTGTCTCTATCCCCCATCTCCTCCTCTGTCCCCCATCCTTCTTCCTCTCCCTTTGACCCCTGTTCCTTCTCCTCTCTCCACCTCCTCCCTCTCCATCCTCTCACCCCTCTCCCGTCCCCCAGCAGGAGCAGCAGCGCCAGCAGTGCAGCCAGCCTCGGCCTCCCCAAGCACGTGACACTGTCCTCCCACGGGCCAGGCCCGGCCCTGCCTCTGTCCATCTCCAACCTTGCTACCTCGCACTTTGCGCTCCGTTCCCAAGCCCAGCATCAGCACCACACGGCGGCCATGTTTGCTGCCCCCCCCCACGCTGCCCCCTCCCCCATCGCTCCCTACCAACAGCCTGGTTATCCCCGGACACCCAGCCGGTATGTCCCAGGGCAGCCCCACTGCAAAAATGGGTATATCGAGGGCTGACAGGAAATGTGATTGTTCCTAAAGTTGACCAGAGTTTGGGAAAGGAGAAATGAATGACTCCTAGGGGAAGGGGGGGTGTCATTACACGTAGAATGAAAGCTCAGGCTGGCCCATCCTCCGTGGATGTTTTCACTGACCATGGGCCATAGCTGGCTGGACTTGGGTTGGGTCAGAGACTGGGAAGCAATCAGGAGCCTAATTTTTAGGGCTGGAAAGTACCTTAAACATCATCTCGTCTGACCCCCTCGTTTTAGAGATAAGGAAATTGAGGTCCAGAGTAGGGTCACACAGCTAGTGTCAGTGTCAGAACTGAAACCTCCATCCTCTGACTCTAAATCCCACATTCTTTCTGCCCCAGGACCCCCACTTTCCCCATATGGCCCAACTGCTTCATTCCCAAGATTGAATACACACACACACAGAGTCAGAAACTAGTCTAGGGCCTTCACTCCTGCCTGACCCTCAACAACCCCTGAGAGGGAGAGGGTCTGAGAAGGACACTGACCCCACCGGCCAGGGACCTGTCTCACACCGGATGAGTCCTATGCCTGAGGCTATTATATCTTCATTGCCTGGGAGGACAGGGTTAAGGGGGAGCCCATTTCCCAGGTAAAGGTGTCAGAGGCAGCTTTCTTCCCTAGTGATAATGTTTTTCGGGAGGAGTCTTTGCCCTGGTTTGGGAGAATGAGCTAGTACATGTTTTATCAGCTTGGGGGCATGCTGGGGGCGGGAGGGCTTTTTTTACCCGGCCGAGAATTCTTGAGAGAAGTTGGAGTCCTTTCCCTAGGCAGGGCCGAAGGGTTGCCCATCCTCAAGAGTTGTAGGTCAGAGATCCTATCCTCTGAGTAGAGAGCCTCAGAGAGTGTCAGAGGGACCTTGTTCCCTGGGACAGGGGGAGTCGTCCCCAGCCAGCTGAGAAGCAGGGGAGAGGGGCTTGTTGGGGAACCTCTTCTAGGGCAGGGGGGAGTCTCAGGGGGCAGCCTTTTTTCCAGAGAGAAGGAGCTTTCAAAGTTAGATTAGCCTTTTACCCAGAAGACATGGGGGTCCCAGGGAGGCTCTCAAGAGAAGCCTGTTCCCTGGGTCAGAAATGTCAGGGAGAGCTGTTAACTATCTAGGAGGGGTGAGACAAAAGGGGGAAGAAGGGGAGAAGGTAAAACCCAAGGCCCTGCCCAACATGTCAGCACAAACACATATATGCCAGGTGTTGGAAGGGGCTCTTGTTCCTATGGGGAGGGGCACGATGTCAGGGAGAGCCCCTTCCCTGCAGGTGGGGGATCTCTGTGGCAGTGTACCACTCCCTGGGTGAAAAATGTCGGTGGAAGCCCATTCCTTGGGGTAGAGGGTCTCCGAGCCTTCCCTGGGCAGAGTCGGGGACCCACGGGAAGGCCTGGCTCGTGGCTCAGGGCAAGATGTCAGGGGGAGCCCGTTCCCTAAATAGAGGGGTGGTCGGGGAGCCCTCTCCCTCGAAGGGCAGGCAGAGGGCCGTTTGGGGAGGCCCCTTTCCTGGGTGGAGCCCCCTGTATGGGCAGGGATGGGGGAGGGTGGTCACAGGGAGGGGGTGGGATGTCCGGGGGAGGACAGCCCTTGTTTTCTGCTGGGATGACTCATGGTGTTCTCTCTTGTCTTTAGATACCAGCCTGTTGATTTCATTCAACCAACCAATCATGTATTGCCAGCCTCATTCGGGGATTCTGATTGGTACTTTGTCACAGGCATCCCTCTTACCTTCACCCTTGAGTCCTCACGTAGAAAACACCCACAGCATTGCCTGCCGAAACAGGGAGTGCCAGGTGAATATCTGCCCCCCTCCCGCCCGCCGGGACTCACGGCCGACGCCTCTGTGTCTCTCTCTCTTTTTCTCTTCTAGATCACGAGCTGCTCAGGAAAGAGCTGAACACGCGTTTTCTGGTCCAGAGCTCGGAGCGGCCCGGGGCCTCAGGGGGCCCGGGCTCGCCACTGCGGGCGGAGTTTCATCAGCACCAACACACACACCAGCACATACACCAATACACATTCGCCCCCTTCCCTCCCGGCCCGGCCTCGACGCCGCCGCTCCTATCGCCCTCCGCACCCGCCCCCGCCCCGGTGCGTAGCGCCAGTGCCCCCTGAGTGCCGGGGGAGAGCGAAGGAAGGGAGGGCGGGCCGGGGCCAGGAGGGAGTAGGGGGGAGCCGGCCGACCAAGCCCGCCCGCCCCGGTGTGGCCCGGCCTGAGAGCCAGGCTCCGAGGGACCCAGGCACACGCACATGCACACGCACACGGACGCCCATGGGGCCAGGGCAAGGGCATTTCTCTTTCTTGGTGTCCGGCGGGATCGCCCTGAGCCCCTCCATCCTTCCTTCCATTCTCCCTGCCTGGCATGGCCCGTTTCCTGCTGCTCTGCTCACACACCTTTGCTTGCAGCCTGGTCCAGCGAGCGGACACAAACATACACACTCACACTCACACACACATACATACACACGTGTGCTTTGTTGGGTGGGGCCTTGGGTTTCAGCCTCTTCTCTTTTTTTCCCTTTGGTTTTCCTTCCCAGAGGCAGCTGGTGGTGGGAGGTCCCTGGACACCGCCATACTCTCTGAGGGTCTCTCTATGTTAGTGGCACCAGGGGGATGCTTTCTCCCACTGCTCTGTGTCCTTGGAAGCTCGGGCCCTAGTTCTATGTGCGCTCCATGTCCTCTGTCGGTGTGTTGCTCAGACCCGGTCCTCGCGGCTGTCTCTCCTTTTCTCCATCAGTGTGTCCCTACAAGGGCTGTTGGGAAGGTGATTCTGAGGCTCAAGCATTTCCTTCCTGTGCCTGTGGCCTGATTAACATTATTTTACCCTGTCTCCAGGGCCGGTGGACTTGACCCCACGCCACATCTTTCCGTCTATGTCTTTTGAACGCCATTCCTTCCTTTTTCCTTTGTCCATGACCCAAAGTTTATAGTTCCCAGTCCCTTGTTCATGACCTAGTAACATTCTCACACACACAAACATCCATGTGTCCTTGACTTGGACATCCTTAGATGATGTGGTCCTCGTGACCCCGCGTCCCGAGGACATGCCTTCCAGCTCCTACACCCTCACGTGTGACGATTCCTTGGGCCCTGCGTGTAGTATAGGGGGTCACAGCACTGGACTTGGGATCAGCACCAGGATTCCCATTCTGGCCCTGCTCTTCTCCCATGTGACCATAAAGCAAGTCACTTCACTTCTGAGCCTTGGTTTCCTCCTCTGTAAAATGGAGGGCGTTGAACTAGATGACCTCTGAGGTCTAAAATCTATGATCTTGGCACTGAAAAGGGAGAGGGCACTCTTCCTACCCTCGTTTCTAAGTGGGTTTTATTGTTTAACTATCTCTCCCCACATCCACATGTATATACACACACAAAATGTTCTATTAGCCCAGATGTTTTAACCCTGTGTTAATGTTCCAAAATAACCCAGAATGTAGCACCACATGGGCTTACAATCTGGATCTTATCCATGGTTCCTGTCCGATGGGGGCCCTCCCCAGGGAGCAGCCCTAGCACCATGAATTAGCAAGGGAGGAGGGACTGGAGAGTTGCTTTCTTGTCTTGAGCTGGGACCTGTGGGCGTTAATGTCCACTGTTAGCCTGGTGGTGGTCCTGTGACCTTTGTATCCCAGAACAGAACCACCTAAAGCTATGGGAGTGGCTTGGGCCCCAGTGTCTGGCATGGGTCCTTCCTGGGAGATGGGGAGGCAGGGCACAGAGTGAGCACCCAGAGAATGGCTTAGCCAGAGGGCCCCTTTTCCCTGGGGATGTCGGGCTTGTAGCCCTCCTGCTTGCTCACTGGTAGCGTATCAGGGTTGGGAATGAGCGGATCGAGGGGGACATCTGTGCTGGGGGAGGGGCCTCACACTTCCTTTCTTTTTCCTTCTAGTTTGACAAATACGCGCCCAAGCTGGACAGTCCCTACTTCCGACATTCCAACGTGAGTGTGAGTGTCCATCGGCCTCCAGAGCCCTTTGTGTCCAGTGTGTCCACAGCCCCTGCCCAGTCTTCCGTGTTTATTCCTTGACCACTCTGTGTCCATGGACTCAGCCCAGTGTGTCTGTCCTCTTTGTCCTGCCCTGTGTGCCTGCCAGCTTTGTCCCCTGCCCTGTGTGCCCGCCACCTTTGCCCCATGTAGCTGTTTTTCCTGTCTCTTGGGGCTGTTATACACTGTTTACACCTTCTTTACTGTCTTAGCTTCAGTGGGCTAAGAAAGACTTTTCCAGTGAAGACAGACCTCCCCCACACCCCACATCCCACATCTGACCAATAGAGTTGCCTGGCCCCACAGCACCACACTCCAAACCACATCCACCCTTTGCACAAGCCTAGGTTTTTTGTTTTTTGGGTTGTTTTTTTTTTTTTTTTTTTTGGCTAGGCAGTGGGGTTAAGTGATTTGCCATGGGTCACACAGCTAGTGAGTGTTATGTGTCTGAGTCTGGATTTGAACTCAGGTCCTCCTGAATCCAGGGCCAGTGCTCTGTCCGCTGCACCAGTTAGCTGCCCCGAAAGCCCAGGTTTTTATAGGACTCTCTTTTGCAAGGACCTGTGACTTTGTGGGGACTCAGCAAACAGGAGGTGCTGGGTAGAAGACACCTAAAGCTTCCCAGGCCAGGCAGGGTAGAGAACCTGGGCTTTGCAGCCCCACAGGGTGTTAGGCATGAGGGCAGGAATGTCAGCGTCTGACTCTGCCTTTAGCGGCTGGGAGAAGCTCGGACTCTTCCATCCCTGTCCCATTTCCCTCAGAGGCCTGGGATTCTCCAGGTCAATGGGCCTGGCATATCCAGGGCCCACAGGCATCTGTGATAGGATCCCACTGGACTATTGCTGCAATGGTTAGGGCTAGTGTCTGTGGCTCCCGCCCTTTGTGCCAGTCACTGTGACCCATAGCTGACCTCTCATTGCCCCCACTGTCACCATGCGGGCAGCATAATCAGGAGGTACTGGCGGTATTCTTGGTCACTGATGTAGAGGTGTCCGTGTGTGTGGATGTATGTGTGGGTGTGTGTGGGTGGGTGGCATCAGGAAGCAACCGTGCTGGTCCAAGGTGGGTCTGAGCAGGCTCCAATGCCCAATGCTGCTCTGGAGAGAGGCCCCAGTGTGTGATGGCCAGACCTCATAGGAAGACTAGGAGCGGCTACTGGCCTTCCAGTCGCTGTCCTTTTTTCTTCGTCTGGTTTAGGAAAGGGAAGGGAATAAGCATCTTTTTTTTATATAGCACCTACTATGTGCCAGGATTGTGCTAAGTACTTCACAGACATCTCATTTGATGTTCACAACAACCCTGCAAGATAGATGCTGTTATGATCCCCATTTTATAGTTGGGGAAACTGAGGCAGACAACAGTGAAGTGACTTGCCCAGGATCCCACCACTAGGAAAGTGTCTGAGGTCAAATTTGAACGCAGGTCTCCCTGACTCCAGGCACAGTGCTCTGGGCACTGTGGAGCCCCAGTCGCCTCTTTAGGGACCTTGGAGGGGTGGGCCTGACAGCTGGGTTTGCTTTTTTTCCCCTGGAGGCACAGCCTGGGGGTTTCTGGCCTGGCCACCAGGCCTGTTCCCCTGCTTCTGTCCTCCTGGCATTCTTGTCTAACTATGACCTAAACCGGACTTCTCTTCTCTTCTTGTCTTTACAGTTCTTTCCATCCTACCCTCCTGCCATGCCCGGAATGGCCCCTTTGCTTGCCCACTCAGGCCCTTTTGGGTCCCTACAGGGAGCCTTCCAGCCCAAGGTACCAGCTGCCCTGGGGGTGGGAGAGAGGGAGGGCAGGGGCGTGTCCCGGGTGCCTGTGCCCATGCCCACGGGGGCTGCATGCAATCCACCTGGACTGGACACCCCCTCTGGGCCGGCTCTCTAGTTGCATTCCTCCTGGCCTCCTTGAGGGCCACAGTCTCTGAGGTACACACCACCTACTCCGCTACGATCCAAAGAAGCGTGGGCTGGTCTAGAGCTGGGCAGCGGAGGGGACGGCTGTGCTGTGAATGATTCTGAACCATCGTCGGAAAGAGAGTTTCCAGGAAATGAGCCCTCACCACCTGTCACCCTTGGGGAGGAAGGCAGAAGCTTGTAGACCAGTTTGATGTAGCGCATATGGAACTCTCACCTGTGGCTGGGCAAGGCCCACCATCCTTAGGCACTGTTCCCCTTGCCTATTGTAACCTCAGCATTAGCGTCACCGCGAAGCTCCCTAGCTGTGGGCCTGTACTGTGGCCAAAAGGCTTTTTCAGGTGCCCTTTGTTGTGCGGAAGGCTGGATTGGATGGACGGCCTCAGTGTAAACAGAAATAAACGTCCACGAAGCTTCCCTGATTGTTCGGAGTCTGGAGAGCAAGCAAGCTTTCTTCCTTCCTTTCTTTCTTTCTTTATTTATTTTTAACTACCACAACAGACAAAGCAGAAGGGGAGGGAGCCTCTGTCCCCACCTGGATGTCATCCCTCTAGGTGAACCCCCACCCCAAGATGACACCTCTCTCTGCCATCATTTGAAAGGCTTAGACTAAGGGCATCCCATTGGCAATCCCATTGGTATAGCCTGATAGAGGGTGATAGAGCCCAAATCTGAAACTATGAGTCATCTTTCTCCCCCCCTCCACTTACCCCAAACCCAGCTCTGCTGTGGTCATGATGGTCCAGCAGGCACCAAGACTTTAGTCATGAAGAAGGAGATTACAGCCATATTTCTGCCTTCATTAGAAATTAATCCGAGCAACCAGAAGGCCCCAGGCTGTTTTCAGAACCTTCACCCATCCTTCTTCAGAATATCCAAAAGCCTTTGTTCTCCCTGGATCTCAGGATCCTCCCCCCTGTCTTCCCTGGACAGATGGGCATAGAGTGTGATGGACACAGAAGCAATGTGAACAGGATTTAAGCTGGTCATGCCGCACCTAGAGAGAGCCTGGGTAGAGCTGCGTGGGCAGTGTCGAGGTTATAATGCCAACTGACTCTAGAAAGCAGAACCCTGGTCCTAACCTGGGGAGCCACACTTTCATGATTCAGTTTCCCTATCTTTCAGTTATACAGCATCCTGTATTTACCTGAGGCTGAAGGTACCATCCAAACTCATTAGGGGCTGTCACTCATCACTTTTTTCCACTGTCCTACAAGATGAGACAAGGCAGAGATTATCACATCCATTTTATACGTTGGGAAAACTGAGGCCATCCAGGACCAAGATGTAGTGCATGAAGTATGAGAAGAACCCAGGCCACTTTGCTTCTGGTTTCTCTTACGGAGAGTTTTTCTGCACGAGAAGGTCAGAGGCAAAGAACCAGTCAGTGCTATTTGAAGAAGACTGGCTTCCTCATCCAGATCTTGTCCAGGCCCGTGGGGCCTCGTCTAGGTCAGAGTCTTAGCCAAGTTCCTGTGTGTTGTTCCACAGGCCTTAGAAACACTCCTGAGTCAGACCAAGTCTCCAGCCCAGGGCTCAGGGTGATTTATGGGGCCTGAGCACCATTCAGGGCAGCCGCAGTCTGACTCCCTTTGGTGCTGTCTCAGGAAGGCAAGAGGAGAAGCAGGCCTGGAATGTCTCACCGAAGGCAGATGGAGCAGAAACCCTGCTGGACCAAAGTCACATCTGAACAAACTTGGAAATGGAATTGGTGTACCAGAGTCAGAGGCAATGTCCCCATCGGGGCATGGTATCTACCCTCTTATACCCATGGCCATAAAGGTCCCAGGAGCTGGGGGCCCAGGAAACCCTCGTGAAGCCTTGTCCAATATTGGACCTCACGGTGGTCCTGGATACGGCCAGACATTAAAGCTTCTCTCCTTCTGGACAGTCATCTGAGACTTGGAAATCACAGAACCCCAAGATCTGGAAAGGAGGGCAAAGGGCCAGATAGCCCCACCGTCCCCTGAGCAAGCTGCCCCGGTACAGCCTTCTAGACCAGTGGCCATCTAGCCTTTGCTGAAAGACGTCCAGATATGGAAACTCATTCCATCCCAGTGCTAGCCCCTCTCTGCCTTCCTGACTTCCCTTTGGAGATGCCTGAGCTCTCTCCCCACAAAGGACATGGGTTTGCAACACCTAACACAATCCCTGGCACACAGTAAATGCCTTTTCACTGACGGTCTGATCCTTTGGGGATATGGTAGGGTAGAGCTGGTACTGGCTAAGGTCCTCATCCTCTTTCCCTTTGCTTGAGGCCCAGGGTCACTGTGTCTCTTCGCCTTGGTCCAGCATGGAATTGTAACGGTGTCTGATTTTAAAAACTTTTACAGGAAAGGTGCTGGTGTGTGTGTGGGGTGTGTGTGTGTGTGTGTGTGTGTGTGTGTGTGTGTGTGTGTGTGTGTGTGTGTGTGTGTGCGTGCGCACTTGCATATGGGTACATAGGATCATAGACTACAAGCCATAAGGGGACCTCGGGGGATGACCTAGGCCAACAACTTCATTTTCCAAATAAGGAAACTGAGGCTCAGATATTGAGTGATGATTCCAGGTCACACAGGTACAGAGGCCAAGCTGAGACTCAGACCCAGGTCTTGAGACTCTGAATCCAGTATTTTCCTCCACACTGCACTGGGTTCGTGGGCCACTAGAGAGAACTTTGGGAAACACGGGAAGTACCAGCTTGAAAGGGTGGCTGGTGGGAAAGGCAGGAGTGGTAAAGAGAAGGCTGGGAACCAGCCTGGAGGCAGCGTTCTGAAAAAAGGCCTTGGGCCTCTGCCCACATCCCCGATTGGCTCGTAGCTTTCAGAGCTGTCTTTGACCCAGTCTGTCACCAATTCTTTATTAAGTGGCTGCTGTATATGTGCCAAGCGATGTGCTAGCCACTAAAGGATAGAAAGACAAAACTGAAATGGCCCCTGCCCTGAAGAAGCTTACCTTCGAGCAGAGGAGACAGCATTGCACATATGAGGACATAACCGCGTCTGGTTTTTAAAACTTTTGCAAAATGGGAGCTGGCCCAAATGTACAGCGTAGAGAGGATTTCCCTGTGACTAGCTTACTCTTAACTTACTGCCTCTCCTTTCTCTCTCGATCCCAGACGTCAAACCCCATCGACGTAGCGAGCCGGCCAAGCACTGTCCATCACGCCCTCCTACAGAAAACCCCAGGGGTAGGTACCTGGGTCTCTTTCTTCTCTGTTGTCTTGGTACATGCCCAAAGGAAGTCCCATGTTGGCTATCTTGGGAAGTTTCCTCGAGGTCCAGGATGTATTCTCCCACCTCCTGCGCACTTGGAGCTTGTTGCATTGAGACTATCTGTCTCATATTTTATGAAGTGTCATGGAGGGTGGTGAGGGAAGCAGGGGTGCCCCTGGGGTCTTCTGGCTTCAGGCTTCACCATGTTACCTCCAACGTGGATACCAGAGCACCAAGCCCCCAGACTCTCTGGTCCTCTCCCACCTTCTCTGTCCATGCGTCCCACCATCCAAGGGGTCTGGTAGTAATAATAATCCTCTTACCTTCTCTGTTGCTCACAGGTGTCTGACCCCTACAGGACACAGGTCAGGGTAAGTAGGAGAGAGAGAGAGTGTGTGTGCGTGTGTGTGTGAAAGGCTTAGCCCCCTAGCACATCCTTAGCAGAGAGAGTGTTAGAGATCCAGGGGAACCTCGGTAGTGTGGGACTGGATCCCTTTAATATGTAGGCCTGGGTCTCTAGTACTGTCTCTGGATGCCCATCCAATCATTTCCCCAGAAATCCAAGCCAAACCTCAGGGAAGGAGGGAGGGGAAGGGATGAAATCAGGAATCCCACCAAGCTAGTGTCTCTAGTCAAAAGGTTTTGTTTCTCCCATTGCAGAAACCGGGAAAGTGGTGTGCCGTGCATGTCCAAATCGCCTGGCAAATCTACCATCACCAGCAGAAGATCAAGGTGAGGCCCTCCTAGCCAGTCTCAGACCCGTGAGAGGGTTCTGACCTGCTGTGTAGTCACCAAAACTCTCTTTGTGGTCTGAAGGCTCAAGGGCCGAATCTCTAATGGGATCTGTTGCTCCCAACCGATGTTTGTGTAGGTGGGTGAATGTGGGTGTATGGGGTGGGGTGGGGAGAGAAGAAGCAATAACAAGCATCTATTGAGCACCTACGGTATACAGACTTCCTTAGAAGATTGCCCTTAAGGAGCGCACGGTCTAGTTGGGGAGGACCAGAATGTATCAGCACAGGGTTTAAGTCACTCTCAGCCAGCCTGGGAAGAACCATCCCATGCCAGCCAAACACAGCCCACAGATGTGCATGTATCTGAGCATGAGAGCCCAGGGAGAGGCGGCTGCAGGCAGGTGTGGTCAGGGAAAGAGGGCTTGGCACAGGGAGGTCCGGCGTAAGGGAGGACATTCCAGAGGCAGAGGAAGTGAGGCATTGCTGGGAGTCCTTGCCCGGTGGTTAGGTGGCTGCCCTCAGTAGGTCGAGAGAGGAGGAACAGAGTCATAGTGGGAGTGCAAAGGAAGCGACCGACGGGGAAGAAAGGAGTCGACGGGACTTGGGCAGCCTGTTAAGCCTGAGGAGGTGAAGAGAGAGGGGAGAGACCAAGATGACCCTGAGGTTTCAGAGGCCTCCTCAGACCATCCCCATCTGCTCCGAACTGGATCTCCCATAGACGCCTCGAGCACAATACGTCCACTGTGGCACCATTAATAGAAATCCGCGTGGCCCGGCTTTGGGAATGTGGGATTTCAGGAGGTATCAGTCACTTCCCAAGCTTTCTGAAGCTAGTGGCTCACCATGCACTAGGCATTGTCCTCAGCACTGAGAATACAGAAAAAAGGCAAGACCGGTCTCTGCCCTCAAGGAGCTCACACTGTAATGGGGGAGACAAATACTCACACCAGTGTATGTACAAGATCTGTACGGCGTGGATGGTACGGAGCGTAGGGACAGCTGAATCTTTGAGGGTGGGTCCTGGGACCCAAGGGAGGGGAGATGGAGAAGAGGAGGAGGAGGATGGAGGAAAGGCCTCTGAGTTTCTTGATTACAAGACCATTTACTGCCGACATCGGAGAAAGCAGCTTCATTAGAGTGATAAGGAGAGATTCTAGGTGTTAAAAGACGAGGACACCGGGGAGGAGAAAGTGGAGGCAAAAAAGATAGATGGTTGTTTCAAGAAACATTGCCAAACAGCAAGGTGGTGCAGTGGATAGAGGGGGAGAGATGGGCAATGTTAGAGATCTGTTTTCAGAGCAGGGATGGTTAATAAAGCACAGTCCTGGAGGAGACAGGATGGGGTGGCGGTCTGAAGGCCACCCATGGAAAGGTTGACCTTTCAGGAGAGGGAAACATCCCATCTGTGGGAAAGAAGGAAGTGCAATCTGGTACACACCGACTTCTCGTCACCTCAGAAGCAATATCCAATACTCCTTTTTCCCCCTTCCTTACATCCTTCATTGAGAGCAAGGGGGGGTTTGGAGCAGCTTCTCCAGAGAGGCTGAAAGGGAAGGGAGAGCAGCAGGGAGGGCCAGACTGAGGGCAGACAGCTGATGTGGGTGACTCGAGCACCCCACGTAGAATGGAAAGGACCCTACATTTCGAGACAAGGGACCTGGGTGGAGATCCCAGCGCAACTATTGGCTTCCTACGAGACCTCAGAAAAGAGGAGGCATCCCTCTGAAGCATGGTGACTTGGGGCAAACCACCTGACCTCCCTTGGGCCTCAGTTTATTGATCTGTAAAATGACTTTCACCTACAAGTCTGTGATTTTAGGATCTTATCTCGTGAACCTTTCGGCCTCGACTTCACCATCTAAAATGAGAGAGTTTGACTTTCAACCCTTGGAAATACGAGGTTCCTTCTGACTCTGGATCCGTGAGTCTCTATTTCCTCCTTTGTACAAGGAGGGGTTTGGACTCAGTTGGCCTCTAAGGGCCTTTCCGGCTCCAGACGGGGGACTCTTAGGCAGTAGAGAGTACAGTAGAAAGGGGGCAGATCCTGGAGGCCAGTGTAGACAGAGGGGGACAGATGGACCAGGTGACAGGGAAGGAATGACTGACTCCTTTCAGAAAGGGTTTGGGAGGTGCCACGGGGGAAGAAAGGCAACTTAGGTCTGTTTCTTTTTGTCCCAATGAGAGAAGGAAGCGAAGCTGGTGGTGGGGAAATGAGGCACTGCGTAGAAAGGTTAGGGTTTGTCTGTCAGCCCGCGCCTCATGGTGGGATATGAATATCTGGTTTGAGGCCGGAGACCCTGAGGCTAGCTGACCTGGGATGTGGCTGTGGTGGGTGGGTGTCACACAGACACACACACACACACAGTGTCGTCCTTGAATTCTCAGCCTCCCTCCATCTGCTGTCTCCTTGCAGTTCTTCAGGTATGATACCCATTCTCTCCTTTCTGTGCCTAGCACATCTGGAATGCCCTGAAATCCCGCCTTCTATAAGAAGCCTTCTCTGACCTCCCCCCACCAGCTGCTAACACCCTCCCTTCTCGGCTCACTACCTATCTACATGTTGTCTCCCCAATCAGGCTCTGCGCTCCTTGGGGACAGGGTCTGTTTTGGCTTTTTCTGTGTGTTCCCAGACACTTGTCTACTTAATTAAAATGTTTGTTGACTGACTGACTGACTGACTGACTGACCAACCAAGTGCATCTCTCTCTGGTTACGTAACCTTACCGGCCTAGGGGAGCAGAGCAAAGACCCTGCAGGGACTTTGCCCAAAGACCATCCCATCCAACGGCTATCCTCTGTGTCTTTGCAGCAGATGCACCTGGACCCCCACAAGCTGGAAATTGGTGGCAAACTGGACCTCTTTAGCCGGCCACCTGCACCTGGGGTGTTTCCTGGGTTCCATTATCCCCAGGACCTGGCCAGGCCACTTTTCTCAACCACAGGTAAGAGACCCCAGCAGGGGCTCTGTGTGTGTGTGTCTTGTCTGTCTGTCTGCTGTTCCCATTGCCTATGTTTAGCCCAGACCAAGGAAAGCCCAGGTTTCCTCTGTTGCTTTTTGACCCAGATGGAGGGCTCAGTACAGCGGCTGTGGGTCCCTCCAGCCAAGAAAGACCTGTGTTTGCTCTCATTCAGCCCCCTCCCTGTTAAAAAGTCTTGGTGGAAATCTCAGGAAAATGTGTGTCTTTCATGGTTGTTTGGAGTCTGCTACGCCACGTAGGAAGGTTGAAATTGGCATACGAGTGATGGAAGGGGCCAGGAGTAAGGCCACATGAGAACTGCCCCGCTGACCATGGAGGCTGTTTGTTGGAAGCATGGGTCATTCCAAGAATGGGCAGTCTTGTTCTTTGGCTGTCTCTGTGACCATGAGCCTCCTGGATGGGGGCCTGTGCATTTAGCCTGATTGGATGCTGTTAGCTTCAGCACACTGTCGGGGGATGGGGAGGGAGGCCGGACTTGATCCCTTGCCCAAAGGTTTCTCTAAGCCCAGGATTTGTGTAGGAACTGCACCGAGGCACCAATGGAGGCAGGAGGGAGCGGTGCGTCCTTGGGCCAGCCGCCAGAGCCCAGCTGGAGGCGGAAGGAGCCAAGAGGTCAAACGGCTTGGTGCCAGCTGCAGAGCTGGCCAAGGGAGCTGCTGAGATCACTTCATTTCACTCAGCAGGGGGTCAGCGCTGAACTCCTGAAGCAGCCAAGCCTTTTAGCTGGTGCCTTGCCTGGACAGTCTGGCTGAAGGCAGGGGGGCCAGCAGGGCCAGACTCAAAGGGCAGGAGGGCACCTCGCATGCAAACAAACAAACCAACGTTCAGCCGAATCAGCTCCTAGCCTGAGCCTGCAGAGAAACAGGGAGGCTGAGGGGGAGAAGCCAGGGCCCAGAGCAGCCAGGAGGAAACTGGAAGGTTGGTCCCCAGGTCCCTCCTGAAGGGAAAGAAGGCTCGAAGGAGGCCGGGGCTATGGGAATGATATTAGAGGCTGTGAGACCAGCATGCCAGCAGAGATCGAACAAGGTCAGGGTCCTGTCCCAGGGGTCATAGGCCGCATAGAGGAGAAAGCCAGCACCAGTGAGGACAAGTGACAAGGAAGGGGCACATAGAACCGTCCCAGAGTGGAAGAGAGTCAGGCCTTCCTCACTGGGGTCTACTCAGGGACGTGATCGAGGGAAGCTGTGACCAGATACAGGTGAGACGGGAAGCCTTCTCAGGTCCCTGCTCTCCAGATGTACAGTTCAGTGATTCTAGCCAAGATTCAAGTCTATGAGCGAAGCTTCACTGAGCCCAGGTAGCCAGAGGGATAGAGCGCTAAGCCTGGAGTCAGGTGGATGTGAGTTCAGAGTGACCTCAGACACTTACTAGCTGTGTGACCTTGGGCGAGTCACTTAACCTCTGTTTGCCTCAGTTTCCTCTACTGTAAAATGGGGGTTATAGTAGCACCTGTCCCCCAGGGTCGTTGTAAGGATCAAATGATACATTTGTAAAGCACTTAGCACAGCGCCTGGCCCATAGTAAGACTATATAAATACTAGCTGTTATTATTTATTATTAACATATGACTATGGACAAATTGTAGGATCAGAGGATTCCAAGTTAGAAAGGGCCTGAGAGATGATTCTAATCCAGCCCCCTCATTTTACAGATGGGGAGACTGAGGCTCTGAGGCTGAGGTTACCAAGAAGTCAAGCAATGTGACACTTCCTGTGAGCCTCGGTTTCCTTATCTATAAAATGAGAATAACACTTAACCTTGCTTATGTCCCAGAAGAAAGCCTTTGGTTACTTTTGAAGTGCCATAGAACTGTGAGCTGTTCTTGGCCAAGTGCAGGCAAACGCTGATAGTCTGGGGTTTGTATGTGTGTACCAGCACAGGCTCTGGGGGTGGGGGCACTAAATCTGGGAGAAATATTGTCAGGAGCAGCCAGCACGCAAATCTTGAGCTGTAGAGGAGCAGAAGAAATTGTCATGGTGGCTGCATCTGGGGCGTGTGTGTGTGTGTGTGTGTGTGTGTGTGTGTGTGTGTGTGTGTGTGTGTGTGTGTGTGTGTTGGGGGAGGGGGTCCCTGATCCTAAGAAGGGTAAACCCCATTGCCCAAGGTGGATAGGGAAAAGATGACTGACAGCAGAGAAATGTCTAGGTAGAACGGTTCAACTCTTATTACTCTGCCCCTGTCTTCTCTGGCAAGGATTAGAGTTTGGGCCTGAAAAAGATGGAAGCCCCTGCCCCTCACCCCACCCCCCAATGACTAATACCCAAGATAAGTAGAGAAATATCAAGAGCCCATTTAGCTAATAACTATCCTTGGGTGGATGTCACCAGGCCCATATGGGGTACCGTTGCACACAGTATTGGAAGAAAAGTGGACTTGATGACTGAGTTGCTGTTAGTCATTTTTGAAAGACCATGGAGGATGGCAGGGGTGCTTGAGGACTAGAGAAAAGGGAAAAAAATGAAATCTCCAAACCATGGACCAGCGAGCTTTACCTCAATGCCATATATTATTAAAAGGATGATTAGTGGGCATCCAGAAAAGGGAAGCAGTGGTCACAGAAAGTCCATATGACTTCATTAAGAACAGGCCATACCAGGATTTTTTGATCTTCACAGCAACCCAGGGAGCTAGGTGCCATTATTAACCCTCATTTTACAGGTGGAGAAACTGAGGCAAGCAAGTTTAAGTGACTTGCCCAAGGTCACAGTAGTAAGTGTCTGAGGCTAGATTTGAACTCAGGTCTTCCTGCCTCCAGCCTGGTACTCTTATCCACTGAGCCACCTAGTTGCCCCAAAACTTAGTAAGGCTAAATGTGAAATCGGTCTTTCTTTTTTTAAAAATTCAGTAGGACTAAATGTAAAGTCTTTCACTTGGGTTGTCATGTCTAAATGGTGGCTCATCTGAAAAAGAAATGGGGGTGTTAGTTTACTGCCGGTGCAGTGTGAGTCTACAGTGTGATGTAGCCACCAGGGAAGCTACCTTGGGCCAAATTAAAAGAGGGATGGTTGGGGGGGGTGTTATTTATTTTTAACAAAATTGTGTAGATGTTTCATTTTTATGTTGCCCCCATCTCCCAGTGTGATCCTTCCCCAACTTGTGCAATAGCAAGAAAAGGGATCCCTGTAAGCACCTACTGTGTGCCAGGCAGTGTACTAAGCACATTACAGCTGTTATCTCATCTGCTGCTCAGTCGATGCAGGAGTCCATAGAGCCCTGGAGACAGAAGAATAATAGCTGGCAGCATAGGATCCTCTGCCCTCACTGGGCCTAAGTTTCCTCCCTTGTGAAAGCAGGAGGTTGGACGAGAAGACCTTGTCCTTGCCACTTGAGCTCGCCGCTCCTCAGTTCCTGCGGGATCTCCTTTGGTGACCACCAGCCTCTGATCGGAACCCTCTTCCTCTTCCTTCCCCAGGTGCTGCCCACGCAGCCACTGCCCCATTCGGCCCCTCCCCCCATCACAGCAGCTTCCTGCCCACCAGCCACCTGACAGGTGAGTGAGTGGCACGTAAGCAGCAGCATACATGGCCTGGGGAGGAGAACTTTAAGGTAAGATGAGGACGGGTCCAAATGAGCCAGGGGGAGTTAGGAGAGAAAGAGGCCGATGGTCCTGCCAGAGAAGTCTGTGCTGAAAGTAGCTACCCACCAGCAAGCATTTACTGAGGCCCTACTATGTGCTGTGCACTGGGCATACAAAAGTGAAATAGTCCCTGCCCTCGAGGTGTTTATTAAGCATCTGCTGTGTGCCCAGCACTGTCCTAGGTGCTGAAGATGAGATAACTCTGTCGGCCCCCACGTGGTGACTGGTGATCTCCTAAGGATGCCCCCCAATGACGCAGGGAACAGGGATGACTCCAGGAGCTCCTTTCCTTAGAGCCCCAGGCCCTGGCCCTGCTGGAGCGGATGCAGAGCGTGGGGGTAGGGGTGGTGAGGCAGTGACTGAGCAGGCAGGCTCCAAGCTAGACCATGCGGACAGATCCTGAACCCTCACCTTTTCCTTTGCAGATCCCTTCAGCAGGTCCAGCACCTTCAGCGGCCTCGGCAACCTGGGGAGCAACGCCTTTGGAGGCCTGGGCAGCCACGCACTGGGTGAGTGTGGGCCCGAGAGAGGGAGCCAGGCCCTATCATTAAGCACTGGCTACATGCCAGGCACAGGAGAGGATAATAATAGGCAGTGGAGTGATAGCATTTATCGTTGAATGCTCAAAGGTGTGCAAAGTGCTTTACTTACGTTACCTCGTTTTAAGAAAAAAACCCGGTCCCTGTCGTCAGGGAGCATAATCACAGTCTACTACGGGAGACGTGGAACAGGGCTAAGGATGATATGGAGAAGCTACAATGGGGCCAGTGGATGTCAGCCGAAATTCCTGGCAGTTTGAGCTGCCCCCAAAGTGGGTCAGCTGTCTTGGGGGGGGATCCCCCTCCTTGGAGGGGGGCCTCAGAGCTCTCAAAAGTCCTTAATTTGGAGATGGAAGGGACCTCAGAGGCACTGTAGTGCTACCCTCCCACTTTGTAGATGAGAAAACTGAGACCTGGTGAACTAAAGTTAATTGATATACAGAGTCCCATAGGGACAGGGGTGGGGTTTGACCCCCGGTCCTCTTGACTCCAGATGTGCTATTTCCACCATAGCCCATTGTCTTTCAAGGTTGTGTTGAGCTAGAGGGCCCCTTAGGGCCCTTCTCTCTGCCCAAATCTACAGTTCAAGGATTCAGATCCCAGCATTTACTAGCCGTGTGACCCAGGGCGAGTCTTAGAATCATAGAATTTGGAGCCAGAAGGGATCTGAGGGGTCCTTCTAGTCCATCACTGTCATAGACTGGGAAACTGAGGCACGGATTGATTTATCACTTACTTCCTATGAGCATCAGACCCTTCCTAGGGAAGCTCTTCCATTCTGTGATCTTTGGGGTGGAGAAGAGAGAGGAAAGGAGCCAGGCCTTTTCCTGGGTTCTGGTTGCCTCTTCTACCACCTCCATGTTGGCGTGCATCATCTCTCCTGTCTAAGGGCCTCATTGACTGATACTGTGGCTCTTCTCCCATGCAGCTCACAACAGCATCTTTGCTCATAAGGAAACCCCGACCCTGCAGAACTTTAACCATCCCCACGAGCCCTGGAACCGGCTACACCGCACGCCACCCTCCTTCCCAACGCCTCCGCAGTGGCCCAAGCCCGGAGACCCAGAGCGAAGCTCATCCCTGAGCAACCACGACCGAGACCGTGACCCCGAGAAAGGCAAAGAGGAGCGAGATCGGTGAGTGGCCCCTGCCCTGCTGGCATGGTGGACTCGTCCCTCCCCCAAGTGTCCCGTGACTCTCAGTTACCCCAGGCAGACCTGAGCAGAGTGTGTCTTAGTCTCTGGGGGTACAGTGACGAAAATAAAGCAATCCCTGCCCCTAACAAGCTTATATTCAGTTGGGCAGAAAATGACACACGTTTATGTCTCCAGTGAGGAGGTATGAACCGAGGGCACCCTAGGCCAAGAATGAGTCCCTCAGTAGCCTAGACTAACCCATCCCAGGAGTCCTTTGCCTCCATTTGAATAATAGCTGCAATTTATAGGATACTTTAAGGTCTGCAAAGCTCTGTGCAGATATTTGAACCTCACAAAAAGCTGGGAGGTATGAGGACTTAACTCACTGTTATTCCCTGAGGAAGGTGAGGCTCAGAGATACTCATTTGAACTTCACAAAAAGCTGAGAGGTAGGAGGACTTAGCTCATTATTATCCTCATTTTATAGATGTGGAAAATGAGGCTCTGAGAAACTGTGACTAGTCCATAGCCACAGTGAGAAAACCAAATTCAAATCCAGCCCACTGCCTAGCATAGACAGGCAGCTGTGCCCACCCAGTCATGCCAGGGTGAATAAGATATGTCCCTTCTGAGGCTAGCCTAGCCCCTTTCCTGGCATCCCTTTGGGGGCCAGTGACCTCTCTCCCTGCACTGATGCCTTTTGGACTGTGGAAACAGCCATACTTCCTCTAGGGCAGCCCACACACCTGCCAAAGCTCTCATTTGGTATTCTGTTGGGGGCTGGGGTGGGAAGGTTCACAGGATTGTCAGATATACAGAAAGAGAAATAAATCTGATTGCCCTATGACCCCCTGCCCATCCCCATTCCTAGGCAAGCCCTGGAGTGCTTGGGTATTGATGGAAGCCACCAGTTGTCTGATTTACCCCTTGAGAAAAAAAAGATCATTTCCCAGCTTCAACCATGCTGGTGCCCAGCTCTTGGCTAGCATTTTAGAGCAGAGGGCAGAGAAGTCTGAAACTTTAGCTCCAAAGCCCTTAGAGGTCCTTTAAGGCCAGATCTCTCATTTTATACTTGAGGAAACTGAAACCCGAAGATAAAGTGACTTGTGCGTGGTCACACAGGGAGGGGGGAAGCAGTTGAGATGGTATTTAAATGTACCGTCTTCCAGTGCTCTGTCCACCAAGAGCATCTGAAGGGCAGGGAGGGGCTGGTGGCCTCGCTGTGCAAAATTTGTTTGTAGAGCTATCCTATGGAAGAGGGATTCAGCTTGGCCCCAGAAAGCAGGGTCAGAAAACTGCAGAAGCATCAGAATGGTCTATTTCCGTCCAACAGAAGGAAAAGCTTCTAACCGTGAGAGCTGTCTGAAAAGGAGGCTGGGCCACTTTAGAAGATTGCAGGTTCCTTTTCATTGGAAGGCTTCAGGCAGAGGCCGGAGGCCCCCTTGTTGGGAATGTTAGTCGGGGGAGGGGGGCACAATTCTTGTTCAGTAGCCTCTAGGGTCCCTCCCCACTTGGAGATTCTTCAAGATTAGAGAAAGGCAAGAGCCTGGTTGGGCTGACCAGGGAGGACTTCATGGAAGAGGCAGGGCTTGAGCTGTTCCTCCAGGATGATATTTGGAGATAAAAAGAGCATTCCACGAGGGGCAGATAACATGAAAAAGGCAATGATGAAGGCTGGTCTGTGCAGATAAAAAGTGAGGCAGTTGGCCTCATTGGTGCAGGGTGGGGGAGCTTTGGAGGATTCCATAGGAGAGAAGCTCGAATAGGGTCACAAGAGAGCTGGCTTTGTGGGCCTTGAATGTCAAAATGGAGAGTTTAGAGATCAGTCAGTGGATCAGCAAGCATTTATTAGGCGCCTACTGTGCACAGAGAGCTGGGAATACAGAGGCAGAAGTGAAATGGTCCCTGCCCTTAAGGGACTTCCATTCTATTAGAACACAACATGTATCCAAATAAGACAGGACATATTTTGTACGTGGTAAATTGAGGTGAGAGGAGGGAGCCATTAGGAAAAGCTGAGGAGATAGGTCATGTATGAGCAAAGTTTCTGAGGAAGCAGATTCTGGGAGGCATGGGCAAGGTGGGAATGGTTCCAGATTCCATCTGACAGGCACTGTGGAGCCACGGAATGTTGGAACCAGAGGAAGAGCAGTGGAAGCAGCCCTCTGCATGAGGGAGGTTAGATCGGCCGCCATTTGGAAGGGTGGGTTGGAGACAAGGACCTGGAGGCAGGGGATAGAGGTGAGAATAGAAAGGAAGGCGAGGGAGAAAGACCCCTGGTTGGAGATGGGATGGGTGGGACGTTTGTGGAGGGAAAGAGAAGGATGAAAGGGGACTTTCAGGCCTTGGTGACAGAGCCCATTCCTGCGGCAGCAGACGGAAGGAAGCTGGGAGAAGGGGTCGGTTCTGGGGCATTAATTTCATTTGAGACAAGTCAATTTTGAGATGCCCAGGAGGGATCCAAAGGGTTTGAGAGAGGTCAGAGCTGGGATTGCAGAATCGGGAGTTCTTTGTAGAGGGGTCACAGTCAGACCCCTGGGAGTGAATGAGGTCCCTGAGAAAGAAGGTGGAGTCAGAATGGATGGTTCCTTCTTAGAAGCAGAGGGCCACAGTGGATAGAGAGCCTCGAGATCAGGAAGACTAGGGTTTGTGGCCAAGGGCCAGGTCACATAACCTCGATGGAGGGCTTTTCCATGACAGGAGTTACCTCGGCTTCTAAGAGCATGTGTCTGGACCCAGAATTCAGGTGGGGTTGGCGGATAGTTCTCCCAGCTCTAACCATTATATAAGGAAATAGAATACCGAGGAAAGAACCTTGGCAAACATCTGCAGTTAGATAGAAAAAGGAAAAGTAGGCGATTAAATTAAAAGCGGTAAGAGAGACAGGAAGAAAACAAGGACAGCATGCCTGCTATCAGAGGGGCCGAGAGAAAATCAGTTGTTCAGAAAACACTGTTTAGGTCGCTGCTCTGGGCACTTAGCAGAAGGGGGGAGCAGGATTTAAAGATCAGAAAGTCCGGTGCTAGAGATCAAGGCAAAGGGGGGCCTGAGAAAAGTTTGGGGTTTGGTTGTTGGTGCCTTAGGAAGAATAAGAGAAAAGGTGTGGCCTGGGAGAGACGGCGAGTGCTAGGCTGGGAGGCAAGAGGACCCAGTGAATCCCACCTCAAACACTTGCTGAGTAGGGTTCAAATCCCGTCTTGGCTACTTACCACCTTGGAGACTCTGGGCCTCATCTGTGAAATCCGAGCTCCGTAATCTTGTGACCCTTCCTTCCCCAAGGGCTGCCCGACCAAGGCAGGTTCAGTGAACGTGGCTCGCTTGATGGGCAAGTCCGTAAGGCCCCTGTCAACAGAGAGAATAGACCGACATCCGGTAGTAAACAGGAAGGCAATGTAGAGCAAGATGTGGGGCCTGAGATCTGGGTCCCGTGTGGTCAGTGTCGGCCCACTGTCTCTCCTCTCTAATGTGATAGAGGAAAAGGTCAGAAGGGGAAGGAATGGGAATAAACATTTATTTTTATTTTATTTTATTTTTTTAGGCAATTGGGGTTAAGTGACTTGCCCAGGGTCACACAGCTAGTAAGTGCTAAGTGTTTGGTCTGAGGCTGGATTTGAACTCAGGTCCTCCTGACTTCAGGGCCGGTGCTCTATCCACTGCACCACCTAGCTGCCCGGGAATAAACATTTAATAAGTGCCTAATACATGCCCTGCACTGTGCTAAACACTTAGCAGACGTGTTCTCACTTCATCCTCACAACAAACCTGGAAGGTAGGCGGTATTGTGGTCCCTGTTTTACATTTGGGGAAACTGAGGCAGAGAGGTTTAGTGCCTTGCCCCAGGTTTACAGAGCTAGGAAGTGACTGAGGCTAGATTTGAATTCAGGTCTTCCTCACTCCAGGCCTAGTACTCTAACCATTTTATCACCTAGTTAATGTCAGACCTTCAAGGGACCACCCAGATCTGTTCTTTATTTCTTTATTTTTTTTATTTTTTGGTGAGACAATTGGAGTTAAGTGACTCGCCCAGTCATACAGCTATTGAGTGTTAGATGTCTGAGGCCGTATTTGAACTCAGGTCCTCCTGACTCCAGGGCTGGTGCTCTATCCACTGCACCACCTAGCTGCCTCTGTTCTTTATTTCTGTGATTCCACCTGAGACTTGGGAAGGGGACAAGGGTCACGATAGATATCTTTGAAGGGTTATCTTGGGAGGAGAGATCTGGCTTGCCCTTTATGGCCCCAGAGGACAAAAGGAGGAGCCGGAGCCCTGAGTAAAAGTTGGGGAGGCGAATGTAGGTTTCACATAAGAAAAGAATTCCTTACCATTAGAGCTTGCCAAGGGTGTTGTGGGTTGTCTCAGGAGTGGAGGAGGTTGGACCCCCTCTTCTCCCACCCCCAGTCCTCAGAGGTCTTCAGACCAAACCACAGCTGAATAACCGTGTGTTGGGTATGTTCTTATGGAGTATGAGTAAAACCAGACAGCCACTGCCTCCCAGCACCAAAATCCTGTTATTGTGACCCCAGCCTCGGAATGAGATATTTTAGGGAAGGTGACGCGGGCGAATCCTGTCTTAAGAAAAGTTGATATGCAAAATTCCGAACTTAAAAGAATTAGCTCGGGAGATGATTGTTTATGTTGCCAAAGGAGGGTCTCCTTAAATAAGGAGAGCTCTTCATGCTTTAAAATAGACTTTAGTTTACTCAGGCATTTTCGAGAGCATGCCTGCCCCGTGGAGCGTGTTTCTTCTGCACGCCTGGGTGTGCGGGATTTGAACTCGGGTCCTCCTGACTCCTGGGTGCGGATGGGGACAGGCGTAGCCCTGTTTCTGGCCCCCAGCGAGATGTTTGTTTCCCCAGGGACATCATGGACAAAAGCCGCCATTCTAACCGGTCGTCCCCAGCGTCTGCACCTGTGACCCATCAGATCAGCAACCTCATCCGTAGCAACAGCCAGACCTCCATCGACCCCTCACGGCCAGCCGGCCTGGGCGAGAGGGAGCCGCCAGACCGGCTCCGAGATGCCCCGCTGCCTGAGCACAAGGTGAAGGAGAGTCGCTCCCCGATAAAGGAAGCCCCCAGCCTGGAGAAGCGGCCCCCTGAGGACGGCGGCAAGCCCGTCATCCAGTCGGTGTCCCCCTACAGCAAACCCAGCCTCAGCGAGAGCCTCAAGCTGAGCGGCCTCGTGACCGCCAAGGAGCTGGAGCGGAACCCAGAGCCGCTGAGCGACCTTTCCAAGATTAAGAATGATGTCAAGGTCAAGGAAGAGCGCAAGGAGGATAGCGAGGTGCTGGTGGTGGGATCTGAGCCCTCCCGGGAGCCTCCTGCAGCTGCCCCCCTGCACGGGCTGCCCCTCACCCACTCGATGGCCACGTCAGTGCCCCTGGCCATGGGGGGCGTGCATCCCATCAGCAGTGTGAATGTGTTGGACCGCTCCCGCGTGATGACCCCGCTCATGGGCATGAGCCCCCTGACGGGGCGGGAGAGGCTCCCCCATCCAGGCTTCTCCTGGGATCCGCTCCGCGACCCACTGAGGGACGCCTACCGCAGCCTGGATCTGCACCGCCGCATGGACCTCCAGCTGCGCTCAGACCCCTTGCATCGCATCCCGGCGGGCTCCACCTTCTATGACCACGAGCGCCCCTACCGGGACCGGGAACCCCACGACTACACCCCGGAGAGCCTGCTGGAGGCCCGGCGGGAACAACAGGAGCGCGAGCGACTGCAGCTGCGCGAGGAGCTGGAGCGAGCCCGGGCGCACCACCTGCACCCGCCGCCCATCGACGGCCACCTGGCCCACGTGCCCTCCTTCATGCCTCACCTGAGTGGGATGCACTACCCCAGACTGAGCCCATCCGCCACTGCCCTGCACAACGGGATCCTCAACAGGACCCCCCCTACCGCGGCGCTGAGCGCCCCGCCCCCCTTGGTGCCCGCCAGTGGCACCCGGCCAGCCTCCCCACGCAGGACTACGCCCCTCACAAACTCTGAGGCCAGGGACTACTCCCCCTCTCGGAACCCCAAAGAGGTAGAGGCACGGTAGTCCCCCTCCCCCACCCAGAATTTTAAAACTCCTGTACATAAACAGAATCTTTTACAAAATGCACTGCTGTAAACTTTTTTTTTTTTTTTTAATGTAAATTTGTAGAACTTTAAGCACAGTTCCATAAATCCTGGGGGTTATACAAACTTTTCAACACAAAGATTGTGTAGCAGGGGAATTTAATATATAGCAGATTCTGGTGATTTGGGGTTCATGCACAGAAATGGGTTATTCAGAAACAAACACAAAAAAAATCGTTTGTACATTTTTTTTCCCAAATGTGAGAAGCGTTTTTAATGCATTTGTATTTTTTTTTTAATTTTGTGCTCTTGACTCGCTTTAAAAAAAAAAAAAAAAAGACTGGCTGTTTTTGTTCTTAGTTCGATTTGCCGTTTAAAGCCCTCAGCTTATTACTGAGATTATTCCCAGGGTTTCTTAAAGTCTTATTTATGGAGAAAACTGTTATTTCATACAGCGCACTGTGAGGCTCCCAGACAAGACCACCTGGTCCTTCCCTCCCCTTGGTACTTTGGAACCGAAGTTACAGATATATATTAAAATAATTATTAATAATAATAATGTACAAAACTGTTTGTTTTTTGCCTTATTATATTATGCAGAAATTTAAGAGGGATTTTTTTGACTTCTTGTTTAAAAAAAAAAAACCAAGGAAACAATTGTAAATATCCTGTTAATATAAATGTAAAACATTAAATTCTTAACATAAGTAGACTTTTTAAAAAAAAGAAAAGCAAATGGTTTCTAGAACCACTCTGGTTATTTGTTAATAACATGGTTACAAAACTCTTCTGCTGTCAGTGGGGAACAGTCTCTAAAAATAAAGGTGGCATCGATATATTCACCTATGCAAGAGCTCCAGGACAGGTTTCATTGGGTGATGGGGAACAGGAGGGGGCAGTTAGCAAAATCCAGACACCATACCACACCCACCCAACTTGTAGCTTTAGAAAGAGGACAGAAAAGGGCACGTCCTGGAAAAAGAGAAAGATTTTGCTTCTCCTCCACACAGCGATGGGCTGGTATGGGTCAGGAAGGGGTAGGATAGGATGGAGGGGGTGCAGACAGACAGTCCAAGTAGGGATTTGGGTGTCCTTACTGACCATGCAGGGAGGCGGACGGGACTGGCCGTCTCCGGGGCTAGCAGAAACTATTTTCTATGGACCTTTATGCTAATTGTGCAGTGTTCTTACTGGAATCGGTAAACAAGACAAGTAGAATTTTAGGAGTGCTTTAAAAAAAAAAGTCTACTGGTTGATTTTTTTTTTTTTTTTTTTCATTGAAGACAGAAGAAATTCTGATATATTCTCTCTAGTACATGAAGACCATCAGCCGGTGTTTGTTTCCGTGTGGTCCTTTGGCCTTGGCCTCTGTGGCATGACTTGGTTTTGGTTTCCAGTTTTACTTTCGTGCATATATATATAAATATACACACACACACATATATATATATATGTCACCATGTTTTCCTTGCTGTACGCCCTCCTTATGTGTTTATTTTCCGATGCCCATGTTTTATATAGACATATCTCTATCCCGGGTGCTTTACCCTCGTTAATTCTTCCATCCACTGCTGTTTTCTTTCCTCAACGCTGTATTCTCCATCCCCATCCTCCCTTCCACAACCCCCTGTAATTTTAAACTTTCTGTTTCCTTGTAGATCAATGAAGATAAATACAACATTGATTTTGGATGAAAAGATGGTTGAGTGTTTCTGTGTCTTAGCTTAGGCCTGGTTCACCCTGAGGCTAATGGCTTATCGACAGATATGCTCAGCCAGAGCTTTTGGGGGGGTGGGGGCAGGGGGAGAGACCTGCACTGCAGAGGAAAGGGAGGCCTTTGACCTTCGAAGGCCAAACTCATCCCAGTAGAGCTCACCTATCTTTGGTCAGAAGTTCACAGTGAATGCATACGGCACAGTCCTTCATGGGTCCCCATAGCCCAGCCACATGTTATACTCTTGGCCAGCAAGAAAACTGTGATGAATGATAGGCTCAATGGAAAGGCTCAGCCCACCCCAGGGAAGGAAAAATATCCTGGTCTTAGGAAGACAAGCTTTGATTGTCACTTACAATAACTGGTATTTGTGTAGCACTTTTAAAAGTGTCCAGATAGCTGAGTTCAGCTCCCAAGGTCCCACCAAGAATGCCAACTCACAAGAGCAGGGCTGGGCCCCCTACACAGGCCCCTTCATCATGGACGGTACCCACTAAATAGGGATTCTTAACTTGGAGTCCATGAACTTTAAAAAAAAGTAATTGCCAATATGATTTTCCTTTGTGATCCCATGTATTTTATGCATTAAAAAAGAATTCTGAGAAGCAGTCCATGGACTTCACCAGACTGCCAAACGGGTTTGGGATACAAAAAACAGGACTTCAACCCCATACAGGGACCATCCCTGTTTCAGGGATGACATGCCCTCTCGTCCACTGGCCAGGGTGGTGTCCTCCGCAGTAGTGACACCCAGGGTGAGGTTTTTAGATTTTCCACAAAGTAGACAGGAATTGCCCGCAGTATAAATACTTTAACCTCTCCCTCCCAGATAAAAGATCATAGATTTAGAACTGGAAGGAACTTAGAAGACGAAACATCTAGTCCAGCCCCACCACCTCTCCTCACTTTGCAGAGGAAACAGGCTCAGGAAAGAAAAGTGACTCGCCCGAGGTCACAGAGCCAGACAGAATTCAAACTCGTGGCTCCAAATTAAATGCTCTCACTAATACTCTTGCTGACTTTCCAGACTATTAGCTTCAGGGTATTGACTGAATGTGGCTGGCCCACATTTAAAAAAAAAAAGTGTCCTTTAGTTTGAAGAAAAAAATAAAAAGTCACCTACTCTTCCTACAGACCAAAAGCTGAGAGGGGGGAGCGGGGCAGGAAGAGTGTAATTCTGCAGGGGAAGCTAATTTTGGTGTGGGTGTGATGCTTGTGCGCCTATGGGTGCATGGTATATGGATGTGTCTAGGGGAAAGGGGCCCCAACATCAATGAACCAGAGCTGGGATTTGACCCTAGTTCTCCAGCTACAAACCTGTTACTCCTTCCACTAAGACAGCAGTTACCATCACTGAGACTCCTTCAGGTTCTTTGGGCCAAAGAAGGTATCTGTGGCATTGAAGGGGAGATTGTCTGCCCCTGGGGAATTGTAGGGGTCCTTCGGGAGGCAAGACCCCACACACCCTTCAGTCTCCCAATTCTAGGCCTCTTGGGGAAGAGGAGAAAAGTGGGAGGGAAAAAGGCTGATTCAGAGCGCAAGAAGCACAACATGGGTCAGGGCAAGAGGGTCCTCGCACCCAGTCATCTCCAGTCGGGAGTATGTCGTCCACAAGAATACATCCTGCCAAGAGGGGGCCGAACTTCCAGATACAGGATTTCAGAGGCCATCTAGTTCAACTCAGACCTAAACAAAAATGGCACCCCTGGAATAATAGGTCATGTTTTAGGTGGAATACATGAGAGATCCAGGGCACTGAACAGTGCTGGTGTGGGAGCTGGGGAAACCCGGGTTTAAGAAGGGCTCCTAACACATACTAAGACCATAGTGCAGAGAAGATACCAATCTGGATTGGTAAGGGGAGTGTCCACACTTAGGAGAACCCTATAGCAATGAAATCATAGGTCCTGTCCCATATTGTAAATAGAAGAAAGGGAGGGTCCTAGCAGTTGAGGCATTAGGGAGTACTCTGTTATTAATGCAGGCTAATATCACATTGATAAGTGTGGCCTTGTGGGTACTAAGCTGGTCTCAGAGCCAGGAAGATCTGGGTTCAGGTCCCACCAATTCCCACCATGTAGCTGGTATTCTAGACATCCTAAGCTCACACAATACATACTACCTACGTGACTCTGGACAAGTCACTTAACTTAACTGCTTACTAGTACAAGTTGCAGAGAAGGTGCCAACTTGCAGCGGTTGAGGGAATTCTTAGAAAGTGGGGGCAGGTGTGGTGGTTTGGGGTGGGGAGGTTCCACTCCACAAAGATCACACCAGTTTTCTCAGCTCTCTGCTTGTCCCAGTGGGTAGAGGAAGAAACAAGGGATCAAAATTACAGAGACATGTTTAGGCACAGCAGAATAAAAATCTTTCCAGTGCAAATTGTCCTGAAGAGACAAATGGGCTATCAAGAGAGGTGATTGAGCTCCTCATTACTTGGCAGGGTGACTCTTTGGGAATGTTGTATCGGGGGTCCCTGTACATTTTAGACTAGGTACCATATGAACCTCCTCCCAATTCTAAGATTGTTTGAGTCCACACTGTCTCTGGGAGCACCCAAGGCTCACAGAACCTTTTGGGAAGAGCACGGCTTGTCCTCAACCGTCCACCAGGCAGGAAGCTCTGGGACACACACACAGATTACATCATGATGGCCTCCGTTAGCCACACTGGAGATCTCGTTGGACAGAAAACCTCCAAAGAGATTGAAAAAGCTGGGAATGTTTCACTTGAATGGAGAAGGGGGCAGGGAGGGAATGGGAATGGAGGGGGAAGGTGAGAAAGGAAGTAATTTCGCCATGTATTATGAAAACTAATGGCTACTGATTAAATATGGAGGTTTTAGTTCCAGTATCCTCTAACCCAGCCAGCCCCCTCACGCCCTCCCCCTCCAGGCTTAGGTTTTATCGGCTTCCATTTATCCTCCCCTACCCCTGATCCTGTCTTCTCCAGACTAAACATATCAGTTCCTTCAGTGAGTAAACTCAATGCTCTTTACCATCCGGATTAGCCTTTAAAATGTGATGCCCAGAGCTGAGCACAATACTCCAGGTACGGGCTGACGAGAGAAGTCACATCACCTCCTTGTTCTTACGATTTTTTTTTTCGGTCTGGGTGTCTCCCTGCAGGGCCTAGTACAGTGCCTTACAATTGATAGACTTGGTCCTCCTAGTCTTCATTGATGACTCCTGCTTAATTCACTTCCTAGAACTTCTTGCTCCCAGGAGGTCCACCATCCGCCAACATCCACCCCTGCCAGCCAGAAATAGGTGGGTGAGGCCTTGGAGCCTGGGTCGCCAACCCACATGGAGAAGTCCACGTTCCACACTTCCTTGAAGTGCCCAAATACCCAGAAACCGAAAACAGAAATGTTTCAAGAATATCGCCACACCCTCCGGTCTGCTTGGAAGTGAGAGTAGAAAAGAGGAAATGGAAAGTCCAGTTCCTTCTGGGCAGTCCTGATTGTGACTGCCAGACCCTCAGGAAGAGGATTCGAAGACCAAACAGGGCACCTGCCATGAGTGGTGGGGAGAGAGCTTATCAACTACTCTCATTCCTCATTCCGAAGGGCAGGGAGAGAAAGCAGGGGCGTGTGGAGGAGCACTCTGGTGTGGCAAAGTCTGGGTCACCCACCACACTCTTAGGGCAGACTCTTCCCCCTTCCCCAGGGCCAGTCAAGCTGCACAAGGTTGGGAGAGGGAGCCTGAGATTGGTCCCAGAATTCAGGCCTACAGTTGGGTCCCCAGCTCTGGGAAAACTGATTCACCAATGCCCCTTTGGTATAGAGTTGTGACATTCTGGAAAGCAATTGAGAACTATGTCCCCAGTGTCACTAAACTGTGTGTACCCTTTAACCCAGCTATACCACTATGACATCTATACAACTCAAAGAGATCAAAGAAAGAGGAAAAGGACCCATATGTATAAAAATACTGGTAAGAGCTGGTTTGTTTGTTTTGTTTTGTTTTGGCTTAGGCAATGGGGTTAAGTGACTTGCCCAGGGTCACACAGCTAGTAAGTGTTATGTGTCTGAGGCCAGATTTGAACTCAGGTCCTGAGTCCAGGGCTGGTGCTCTATCCATTGCACCACCTAGCTGCCCCAAGAGCTGTCTTTGTAGCAGCAAATAGTCTTCTGCCATAAGAAATGAACCCTTTCAGATATACTTGAGAAGACTTGTATAAACTGTCAAAATGAAGTAGACCTAGGACAACTTTTTATGCAATAGCTACAGCATTGCCAAGACAAGCCCCGTCCCGAGACTTACGATCAATGCAATGGCCAACTACTGCAGAAGACCAAGGATGAAGCGCGCTGCTCACCTACTGAGGGGCGGGTGATGAACCCCAGATGAGCGGTGAGACGGACATGTTTTGGTTGACTGCGTACTTGTTACAAAGGCTTTCTTTTTCCTTTTCTTTTTCTTTTTCCAATGGGAGAGAAAAAGGGAGGGTATGGAAATAAGATAGCAAAAAAATAAATAAATAAAGGAGAGAGACAGAGAGAGACAGAGAGAAAGAAATGAGTGTCACTGATGCCTCCTTTTTAAGAAGGCCAGAAAGAATCACAGATAAGTAGGACAGCTTTCAGAGTTACATGTTAAATTTATTTTACATTTAAAAAGGGAAAGTGAGGGACAGCTACATGGTACAGCGGATAGAGCACCAGCCCTGGAATGAGGAGGATCAGAGTTCAAATCCAACCTCAGACACTTACTAGCTGTGTGGCCCTAAGTAAGTCACTTTACCCTAGTTGCCTCCCGAAAAGAAAAATGAGCTATACATAACAGATAGACACAACTTTATTTGCAATCCTATTTTTCTATTCTACTATGTATGTAGAAATGTCCATTTTATTCAGTGTTTGATAAGTCCAGGATATACACACATAAATAGATTTTTTAAAAAAAGGCTAGAAGGGGTTTCAGTGGTCATCTAATCCAAACCCCTGATTTTACAGGGAAGGAAAATGAGGCCCAGTGAAAA